AATGCATTGAGTTGGTTTTGCTTTCAACAGGCAAAAATAATTGTTCGGATCGTTAGGTATGCAGCACTGATAAAAACGAACTGATTACCGGCTGCTTGGCTGGGGGAACTAATACAATTATCCAGGCATTATTTCCGAATAATGACTCTGCCGATAACTTCCATCAAATATTTAATGTAATGTAAAAGGTAGTTGAGGGTAACCTTTGCTTCATCATCAGAAACGACTCCATCGCCACCCCCATCAAATTCTTTGAATGCTTTCAGCTCTTCAAAGTGAACCCTGCAATCCAATTCCAAACAAAATCTACTTTTTTCTGGATTTTTATATGAATAATGATATCGGAAACAACCCCCACTATCAAATAATGTTCATTACTTCACATCCCGTGACCTATATTTTGCTACAGTGTATTCGAAATTAGCCCGCGTGTTAATATTTTGTCAACAGCAACCAACCGCTACAAACAAAATCCTTTGAAATTTCTCGGAAATTCAGGCAAAAACGACGATGCCCTTTGCAAGACTGCAAATGGTTCCCTTCTTCGAGGATATTTTAAGAACAACTGGTTTCACGTGTAACGTCTACGGACTTTCAGTTGCTGGGAAAAGCTCCACAGCAAAAGAAAATTCATTTCAAAAAAATGCAAAACCACGGAAGAACAGTATCGGCGTGGCACTTGACCGGCCGCAGCATATCCTTGCCACCAACCAATACTGTACTATCTCAGTTCTAACCATATCACTTCTATATCGCAGCGGAGATCGAATATCAAGGTGGAACGTTTGTACACGGGAGCACATGGGAACCGGAATGAGAGGAGATAACACTGACTGTCTTCATTCCTTACCCCTATTTGCCACTAGTTCCTACATTTTTCCAGCTTTCTGTAGGATCAGGCTGAAAACATTTATTGTGTTTTGAAATTTCGATCAGCCATTGGTTCATCGTCATATTTCTTCTCGCCACCGATGCAGCTGCCAATTTCAGCATTCCCCTTTTCTATTAAGAAAATAAATTTAAATTTTAAAATCAAAATCAAAAAAAAAAAAA